GATCGTCCGCAACCAAGTGCGACAACATTTGACACAACGTGTGATTTAACCGTTCAACCATCCCATTCGTCTGCGGATGATATGAGCTAGCAAACTTCTTCACCACCCCCAGCATCTTATACACCCCTTTCACTACCTCATTCGCAAACTCTGCTCCTCTATCCGACAACATGGTGTGCGAACAACCTCACCTCGCAATATAATCGTTCACCGTGATGAACACAAAACTCTTCGCATTCTTCTGCGCCTTCGTTAGTGGGTACCCTTCGGCATGTCTGCTGAATAAATCTACCACCAGGAACACATACTCGTTGTCGTCGTTTTCGGCAACGGACCCAAATAGTCAAACGACACCGTCCCGGTCTGCTCGGAAGAGCCAAAGACACTAACGGCCAACACTTTGTATGCCGCGGCACTTTCCGAAACTGACAAGAATAACATCTACAGATTCACCGACGTACGCTTTCCGCCATTCCTATCCACCAATGCACCCTCTGTAGAATACCTAGAGTCACTCTCTCTCTCCCAAATGCACTGCCTCTTTGTGAGCGCAATCCATGACCCATGGTCTCAACATCCTGGGCACATACGTCCGAACGGGCTCTTCACCTACCAACCTCTCAAATTGCCCTGGATTTCGATTTGGAGTTCCCTCAGGGGCTTTCGATTCTTTCCTCACCAACAAATGCTTCGAATTCGGCAACACCAACAACGCACCCTGTGCCACCAACCGCTTCAACTCATCCAAATCTACATCTACATTGTTCGAAATATTCCCCTTATCCATCCTCTTTGGATCGGCATGCCCTTCAATGGCCTTAATTGCCAGTCGCGCCGTATTGTCTTCCTCCTGAATGTCCGCCCAATCATCCGCTGTCTTGCCACATAAATTCTCCGCAGATTCAACTGCCGCTTGCGTCTGTTCTTCATCATGCTCTTGCAACGGAATTTGAGGCAACGGGGGTGCTGCTGGACCTCTGCCCCCGGAACCCCTTCCCCTACCCCCACCAGCAATCCCTCCTCCTCGAGCCGCACCACCTCGACCCCTTCCACGCGCAACAGTTCTGCTACTACGAGCATTACTGCCACCACCACCAGCAACAGCCCCACTTCCGCGAGTGTTACTGCTACTACCACCACCACCAGAGGCACTGCCCCCTCCTTGAGAAATAGCATTCACTCGCGGTTTTTCCACCAATCCTAACAAGCGTCTGCCACCTTCCGTTAAAGGAACAGCATGCAATAGTAGCCCTGGCTCAAACTGACCACTTACTACTTCCCCATTCGGTTCCACCAACCGGGTGTCATCAGGCGCACACGCACCATCAGGCAAAGGGTTGGACACGCCCTTTTCCCTTTGGATCAGCGCCCACGTCTTGTCTGCCAGTTCATCCGTAGTGAGGCTTGCCGATGTACAGCCACTTCTCCACCACAAAATCATCGCGATGGTTCAACCCAGCGAGCGCCTCTCGCTCGGTGTACACCGGACCCAATCGCGAAGGTAGCACCCCGCTCGCACCTATCACATAAACATCGAGATCAGACAGATCAGTTAGCCCGACATCTGGTGCCTCATCCTCTTCGTCGCAGGCAATGGCAACCGTAACATCAAATCGGCATTTGCATTCTCTCGCCCTGGTCGATACTTCAGTTCATACGTGTACGCTGACAGGAAGTCATCCCACCTATGTACGCGATTTTTTTTCTCTGCCAAACTCCCCAAATTCCGCAAGGGTTGATGGTCACTGTACACTTCAAAGGGGATGCCATAAAATAGTGTTCGATTCTTCTTTATCGCCCACACTATCGCACCCGCTTCAAGCTCAGTCGGACTTCACCTCGCTTCGTTCACTAACCTTGATCTGCTCAAAAAGCATAGCGGTCTAATACTTCCATCGCGTTGCTCTTGCTCAATTCCGGCTCCCAAGCCCGAAATTGACGCATCAGCGGTTAACCGAAACGGCCGCTCTCCCGAGATCGCACCCTCATAACACGGAAACGCCAAAACTTCAGGACCAGACAGAAAATCCATCATCTTCCTCACTACTGCCACATGATCAGCCGTGAACGCAAACTTCGCCCCCTTTTTCAGCATCGCATTGATCGATTTCAAAATGCCGACATGTTCTTCAGGAACTTTCGATAGTACGACAAGGACCCCAACAACGATCGCAACTGGCTAACATTAGTGAGCATTGGCACTTCACGCAGCGGTCTGACCTTTTCCGGGTCCGTCCCGATCCCTTCCGCCGTGACTTGATGTCCAAAGAACGTCACCACCTTCACCCCCAAGTTGGTCTTCTTGGATGCCAGTTTCAGGTTGAACTTGACCATGCGCTCGAAAAACCTCTCCAAGTCGCGCACGTGTTCTGCCCCGTCCCTGGAAAAAACGATCACGTCATCGATAAACAGACGCACACGTTGCAGCCCGTCACATACTCTGGCCATCACCGAACCACCCACAACTACTACTGAGACCTTGCGGCGCGGAAAAAATTCGTACAACCCCGTAGACGTGATAACAGCAGTGATCGGAATGCTGTCCTCCTCAATACTGTACTGGAACAACCCCCTGACCAAATCCAGCGTACTGAAGATTTCGATTTGTCCAATTCCGCCAAAATATCCTCCACTATCGGAATGGGCAATGTCGGGATTACACTCATTTTATTGATGCGCTTGCAGTTGACCGTCAACCGTACACCACCGTTAGCCTTCGCGACTGCCACCAGCGGACTCGCCCAGTTGCTGTACGATCTCCGCAACACACCCGCCAACAGCAATTTGTCAGTTTCGATCTGCACCTCTTCGTTCATAACCGGCGAATAGCGATATGGCCTCTGCCGCACTGGCTGTGCCCCCGGCTTCAAAATGATTCGAAACGGATACACCGTCACTCGTCCTAAATCCGAACCACCCTTCGAAAAACGATGCCCAAACTTGTACAATAAATCACCTAGTTTGTCAATGCCCTCCGGCTCCCACAGGTTCGCATTGAAGTCGAAATGGACGTTTCGAATGTGCGGAGACACCCTCTGCCACAACCGCCTGAACGCCGCCTGTTGCGCCCCATTCAAAGAAGACATAACATCAGCGGGAGGTTCGTCGTTAGGCATGCTAGCCTCTTCACCCTCCTGAACCGCAAATACATTATTGAATTCCTCATTTTCCACCAAACGAGCATCATCCAAATTTTCCACCTCCAGGGGTTCACCACCATACCCCAAAATATCGTTTGGTTTCACCAGACACGAGCTATCCCCCACTCTTCTTAGAGAGATTTCGGACGTGCCATTTTCGACTAACGCTTCCCGCGGGAACCACTTCTTTTCAAACTGCACACGGTACGTCCCCACCGCAGCGTCACTGCCATCTAGGTTGGTCAATTTTACCTCAACCCATGACATTGCATTTGGAAGCCATCGTCTACTACCCTCAGATTTCACCACCACCTTTCCATCACCTTCCGTTTCCACCAGACCAACCGCGGTACCCACCCATTCATCAAAGCGGTGATCTCCTGCCACTTTATCAGTATTTGCACCGACAAAAGTGACAATTGTTTCTGCGTCCGACACGTGTTGGAATCTGCGAACTGGAAAATCAGCCCAGCTATCCCTCCCTAGTATCAGATCATGTCCCATGGCCGAGTCTGGCACAAAGTATGCATACACCCGTCCGTACCGTCGGTGTACCGAAATGCACCGGCGCTGATTTCCCGCCCTTCCACATTTCCATATTTAATCACATTCTTCGATCTGTAACCAATGGCACCCCAAGGAACCCACCCCATTTCTTGTTCAGCCCGATTTCAATACTGTCAGTTGAAGCTGAACCACACATGCCAACATCATTTGCACACACCTTTCTTGTACAAACGATGCCGGACTTCCCGTATCCAACAGAGCCTCCCACGACATCATCTTGGTCGCCCTTGACCCCGCGAACACTTGCGCTCGAGTCGTATGCCGATGTCGGTCCATCGTCAAATCCCCACCGACCAACCGAGTAAATGGTGACAGGTAGTTCGCCGCTTCACCTGCAGCAAACGTAAAAGGAGACGGAGGGTACACCGCATCATTCCTTTGTCCTGACACAGAAGTAACAGGTAGTTTTGCGTCACAAATGCATCTGTTCCTTCCTGTACTTCACCAAAATTCCTCCCTCCCGCGCTGCTACCTCATCCTCACGCTTGACAAAATTTTCAGAGGCTGATGCATCCCCTATCACACCCTCTTCTCTTATCACTGGCAAAGCAACAGTTTCATGGTTCTGCTTGCCCCCAGCACGATCAACGGTAACGCTTTCTTCCCTTCTAGTGTCCCGATTAATCGACCCCTCTTCGGCTCCATTTCGACCAACAGTGTGTTCCGCGTGAGGATACAGCGGACACCTCACTGTTCTCGGAGAATTTGCCTTACGTATTTCCTTCCTTCGAGTGTTTAACGCATTCCCCGCTGGTGTTGCGTTGCCATTAACATTTCCATTCTGTCAACGCTAAACTTCGTTTGATCTGACGAAGGGGGTGTGTTCGGCATCCCTACTTCTGGAAAATCCCTGTGTGTCTTACTAGTGATTGTTTCCTGAAGCTGTGCACGTACATCTTGCGACGCACTACGACCAAGAATCTTGCGGGGTACTAGTCCTCAATACATTCTTGCTCCCGCGGCCTACATCCGTGCAGTTCAATTTATCAGCACCCGAAACCATTTGCAGTTTGGGATAATTACTTCCACCCTGCTTGGAATACTCCTTATATGCTGAAAAACGTCGCTTCCCGTGGTTGGACGAGACGCTCCCCGTTGTCAGGCCATCACCCTCGGTGTTGTGCACCACCGATCGGCCCCCCTCCTCCTCAACAATCCCATTCTCCGAGTCGCCTTCGATGTTCTCGCGTGATGATTGTTTTCTCTTTATTTCAGCCTCCCCTAGATTCTGTTTTGATCCCGGTCCTGGGCTCTTCTTTCTTCCCTTCTGCCCGCGATATTTCTTTTCGTCATCACAATACCCGGGACCTCCTTCACCCTGCACCATCACTCCTCGAGATTTGTTTTTAATCTCGCAATACTTTTCACCCCTCTCACCCTGCACCATCACTCCTCTTTTCTCTTCTCTATCTGCCTGATCACCCACAAAGCAGCTCGGCCAAGGTGCTACCGGCAAGCTGGCCAACTGACCGTCGCACCATCAGCTATTTCTCCCCCTCCTCCTCTCCTCCATACGGCTTACGTGCCATTGTTTCAGACAATTTAACCACCGATCCCATCTTGCCTTGACTTCGGCCTTGGACCCGCTTGCCAAATTTCGGTTCATCATGTTTGAGGCGTTAATGTAACCCTTGTCACAATCCCGCACAAAGTGTCCCTCACCACCACAGTTCAAACACCTTGACCCGAACGCCCGTCTATGCCTGCCCTTTCCTCGACAGACGTAAACCACGCGAAGAAAGGGCAATCATTCACCTGGCTGTTTGTGCGAGGCGACGAGTGAATGCCATAGACTCTCTTGAACTCTTCACATTTGTCCTCGTAGTCCATGTCCTCCACCGTCATCACCCTCCTCCCCCCATATCCACCATCGGACCTGCCAGGAGACGCGGACCGAAAGGTATTCCCTCCCCCTGACCCTGTCCTTCCTCCTCCATCACATCTCTGTCCCTGCCTCCCCCCAGAGGAACCCTTTACCTGAGCCATCCTTCGTGTTGGAGTCGTTGCCCCCCCTTTGACAGCCTCGAAATTTCGCAATTCATGCATCAAGGTGTCTATGTTATCAAACGGCACCATTCCCAGCTCCTTGCCCTTAAACACGGAAGCGGTCAGAACACTGTATTGATCAGATACACTCTTTCTGACTGCCAGTTGAATGGGATTATCCTGCGGCGTCACCATTCCCATGTTCCGAACATTGTGCACCAACTCCTGCAAGGTAGTCAAGTACTCACCGGCATTCCATTCGGTACCGCAAAGGTCTGTAAGTCGTACACCAATTCTTCGGGAGAGGATGAACTCCCTCCCTACCCTCCCCAACGCCGGAATCAAGAATGCCAGCGCCTTCCTACCCGTTGACCCTTCTTCCATCTGCTTCGATGTATCCGAAAAGACCTTGTCTATCTTCTCGCGGAACGTCATCGTCTGGGCAGGGGACATGGATCGGGAGATGGACGTGATCAGATGTCTGTGCACGGGTTTTTCCCATCCTGGGACCCACCATCCACTGCAATCCCCCACCGCCAAAAACACATCGTTGACCGTATCTTCCAACCTTCTGTTGAAAGAAACCAGTTCTCCCGGCGAATCAGAAAGTGGTATCCAAGGAAGCTTAGTCCAATCCTTCATGTTCATCGTCACGTAACCCGTCATGATCTTTTGTTTCTCCCTCGAGGTCAACGGCTGGATCGTGATGCTTTCTGGTTCTTTCTCAACCGTCGCTACCGTCGCTGAGTGAGACACAACATCTTCCTGCTCTTGTTTGACAGGCGCCACCTCCCTTGCAGCCACCCTAGGTTCAGATGCGATTGCCGATGCACATGCTTGAGGTTTTTCGTCCGTGTCCAGGAGGCTCAATTGTCTGAACTGACCTCCCATTTCAGCCAACTTCTGCTTCAGAGTTTCAATTTCTTTCTCTTTGTGCGACAACTCTTCTTGGAACTCTGTTTTGACCTTGTCATCAACGGGTGTAGTCTTTTCTTCCCTCAACACCTCCTCCTCCTTCACTTCCTCCTTGACAGACACGTTCCCCCCCCTGTCATCTCCCACCCACCTTCCAGTGTGGAAGTTGCCGTGCTGGTCACAGTAGACTGTGCCCCCTTGAGGACCCCCGTCATACCCCACCCTTCCCTGAAACCAGCATGGCGGTGACGCCTGCATCTGCGGCGGTGGCTGCTGCCATTGCTGCTGCTGGTGCTGCGGCTGCTGGTGCTGGGGCGGTGGTGCCTGCCAGTCACGGTGGTGCTGCCCGTGGTGGACAGTTGCCCTTTCCTCCCTGCCCCCACTCTGACTAGAACCCTGTCCTCCCCGACCACCACCCCTCGAATCCCTTGGCATACCTCTACCTCCTTGGTTGCCTCTGCCCCCACCCTGGGAACCTTTCCTCCTCGGGAATCCCCTTCCTGACTCGTGCCACCAGCCCCCTCGGCCCCCTCTCGGAGAGGAACTAGATGATGAACGAGTCCCAAAACCAGACCCTGCCCGACCTTGTCTCTTGCCTTTCCCCCACACCTTGCCCGGTTGAGAGGAAGAAGCACTCGACACACTGTCCCTGCTAGAGGAATACCCCTCCTCTTGTTTTTGCCTCATTGCCTCATCAAATGCAGCTCTCCTTTCCTTTCCTTTCACCTTGTCTGTGAGTGCCTTACCATCTAGACCAGGGTTTTGTGCCAGAATATCCTTGAATACGCTGTCTCTCGGGTTGTCTGGAGTGGCCTGTGCTACCTTGGGAATAACTTACCCCGTCCCCCCTGTCACCCTTGTCCCTTCCACCTTAGTCTCATCCCCCTTCCTCGACCTTTCTTTCCCCCCCCCTTTGCCCCCTCCGCTTCCTCCTGTTTGAGAGCTTTGTCTGGGCCTTCTTGACCTTTGCCTTTTCGGAAGGTGGTGCCGGCATGGGTAGGCTTTCAATCCCAGCCGCTTGTTGGGCAGTGAGCAGAGCACTTCGCGCAGCTTCTGAGTCCTTTCTGTGTCCTAAATTGGCGAAATTCTCCGCACCGAATATCTCCCTCAAACGCTCTAATTCTTTCTGCGCTTTGTCAAGGGTTGTTTTCACCTTTGCCCCACCATTCCTTTTCTCTTGGTCGGAACGTTCCTGCTCTTTTGCTTCCTGTTCGGTCTGAACACCGAGGTTTATTTTCTCTTTTTCCACCTCGCGCTCATAGTGCGTTTTTTCCACTCGGCCTCCTTCACTCTCTTTTTTTGCTTCCTCCCCCTTCTACGCAAGCTTCGTTATAAGGGTAGTCATCCTCGTGATCTCTGGGCCTTTCTGCACCTTCTCCACTTTCTTGTCGAGGTGAATCACCGTGCCCTTCTGCACTTCAAACTCTCGCTTTACCCCATCTAGCTCAAGTCTACTCTGCTCAAAAACTTTTCTCTACTCCTCGTGGTGCTTCTCAGCCAAAGCCACCATTTGGGGTGGGATAGAGATTTGAGGGGAGGGTGGGTCCAACCGCTTCTTGTTTGACCCTGTTTTTGGTCCCACCACCTGCCATGGGTTAGTTGCACGTTGCATGGACGGTAACGGAGGAAACTGGTCATCCTCACTGTCTTCGACCAACGACTCGAAGCGGTTTCCCTCCAACACTGATTGACTCGACATCGTCTCAGAATTGCTTAATACAAGCTGGCTAGATTCGTCTCCCTCACAGCTGGATTCAAGTTCAGGTTTTCGGGGTGGCACATAGTTGTCTGCTGCTTCAAACGTGCCTTCTATCTCCCTTGCCAGTTTCTCACTAGCCACTTGTTGTGTTTCCCTCAACAATCTTGCCTTCTCCTCCCCACTCAGACGGATTGCGATATCTGCGTCGGCCTCTGGTTCCCTTCTTCCACCTCCCCCCATATTGGACACCAGAATTTGGAGAGCCTCCACATCACCCCAAAATGCGAATGTAACAAGTCAAGGATCGCACTCGATGTGTCCCTCACCTTCCCCCCATCCGGTGGCTGCCCGCCAATGGACTCTCCCTCCCTTTCGCCACCCTCGTCGGAGGCACTGCCCCCTCCACCATCCTCCTCCCCCTGGGCATCGACTCCCCTCTTGCGATTTTCTTCGTCCTTCACGGGCCCTTGGTCTCCCCCATTACCTGACGTACGAGAAATAAAATGATCCGCGTCAGGTGTCTGTGACCTTCTGTTTCTGTGCATGTCGCTTGCTCGACGAGAGTAGTAGTCCTCCCCACCTCTCTTACTTCGTGGCGCTAACACATGAAACCCTGGCATTGCCATTGCCTCCATTGCCATCCTCTGATCTACGCTGAGGCGCCTTGCCCCTGCCCCCGAACCTCTCGTCGGACTCCTTCCCCGACTCGCAGACACATGACTCTCCCACATCTCTCTGCCCCGATCTCCCGTGATCTGCGTCAGCCCTTTTGCTAGACTGACACACCTTTTTCCAAGGGACCCACCGCTGTCCCACCGTTGTGCGACACACTTCTTCCCCCAGCGTGCGCAATATCCGCATAACCCCCCTTGCCCCCAGGCCTTCCACCCTTTCCCCCAGGGACCTCAGCCTCTGTCCGTTGTGCATCCTCGGATGTCTGCTGTACACTCTCAGATAGCACTTCCCTTGTCTGACGTGAGTCTCCAGCTTCAACATCTCCCGCCGACCTCCTTTTCCCTTCCTCCCGAGGTCTCTCTGTCAACGGTTCCCCTTTCTCTGACAGCCCTTTAGCCGCCGACTCATCCCCTCCCGTCGGCAACTCATCCTTCCCACCGCCATCAGAAACACCGCCACCCCTGTGGTCCGAGTGCCCAACCCTCCCTTCATCGCTGTTCACTTCCCCCCCCCTCACCTCTCTGTGCCAGGGGAAGAACACACTGCAGGCCGTGCGCTAACCCTGTCGCCCGTCCTTCGGTGCCAGTGACGTGGAATCGACCGGCGGTGGCCTATCGCACGTAGATATGCGTGTAGATGTGCCAGTGGGGTCGTGGGTTTGCGCGTCTCGAAGTTGCTTGCGATCAAGGTGTGTTTCTTAGGCCTTCGTGGGCCGGGAACAGCAGGGAAATCGAACACTGAAAAAGGGGGTACGCGACATCATCAGCTGACGCGAGCTAATTGCGCCGCTTGCTATGTATCTATCCAATTGCGCCGCTTCACTTTCTCTCCAACTCTCTCTCACTTTCTCTCCAATAACTGCAATTCCCCCCTAAGCTCATCATCCTAACCATAAACCCACACCTCCGCAATCCTAATCTCCAGCTCATACACTTTTCATGACCTTTTTTGACGATATCTCAACCAGAACTTACTCCAACCCTGCTCCCAAAAGCCATAATTTCCAAGTCCATTCCATCACGCCTCAACCAACATTTATCCTGCGATTACCCTACCCCAAGTCTTCTTACCCTGACCTAACCTAGGGTTGACTTACTGCAAGACAGCAATTTGGTGGGTTTCCATGTAGTTTAGGAGGCACAATATGAGACGTACGTAACATGTTGAAGCACTGGCTGTACTGGCACCCCTCTGAGCCAGTCCAAGGAAACTGCCCAGACAGGAATACTGTCAGTACCTACTGGTCCAGTCCCCAACCCTACCAACCTGGGTTCGTTCCACCGCGATCATCGACGCCAAAGTACCATCGAGGTTTTGCGGCTCCATCTCAAGGCGTCTTGGAAATGATCAATTAATTCGAAGCTTCAAGCACAATCCTTCGTGCTGGCATCTTCCCTCCAAAACCGTTCTGCGTGTCGTCAACACCATTACGTTCCCGCCATTAAAGTAGGTGCCTTGTTGTGACTGTATACATCCTCGAGGAATCACACGTCATCTTGAGCGTTCTGATGTGCTGAGACCTGAAGCGAAATCGTCATGGCAATCCACTGCCTTGATGCCGTTTTCCACGGTCCACCCTCCTCGTGTGTCGTGCGGATGATTTGTGGGCGTTCGTTTGCTGTGCAAGACAACAGGCGTCCCCTGCCTCTCGAAACGCCTGCGGCACCGACGAGCCTGAGCAACAAGTATGGGAAGACGTACAGACTCTCAGCGGCGCGCAGCGCAGGGCTAGAGCTTGTGCGATCGTGGCGAAACAAAGGGAAGAGGTGAACGCTCCTGCTACACCGAACGATTCCCTAAGAGGAGAGCAGGCGTGTTTCGAGGGAGGCGGGTAGGGCAGTGCCTTTCATTTCGACAAATGTCCGTGGAGATACACCGATGTGTGCAAGTGGACACGTCAAAATGGACCACATGCCCCGAATGATGCACGACATGACATGGACAAATGTCGAGCAGGACAACCTTTTCCTGGATTTCGATCTTGTCGCCGACAGTAAATTAGCCTGGCATGCGAAAGGAGGCGTTTGCGAAGCATGTTGTACAGCACAATATCAACGCTTGAAGGCATTCGTCACAGTTGCGACAATTTCGCTGATAGGTTATTCCTTCTTTGTCCAGTACGAGGGCAATCTCAAGTGGTGATGATATGATGATACGGCATCATCTTTCATGATTAGCCCGACGTCCTGTAATGAGCAGCACGTTTGAACGCCAAGTTGCACTGACGTTAATATTTGCAGGAGTTAATGGAGAGCGAAGACAAGTCCGCTTCGGTGAGTCGCGGACTATTCCTTGCCTATATAAGGAATTCCCATGGCGGCAAAGCACGAGGAGGAGGCGTGAGCTTGCAGCGGTGGTTGGAGGACAGGCAGGCAGCGATGGAAAAGGTTGTGTGCCACTTCGTTATGCCGAGGAAGCGCTGGTGGTGATGTTCGCGCTCCTTGTCATGGAGCAAGGGTATCGACGTCGTGTCGACCGTCATGTCCCCAGCAGCATGAATTCAGTTGTTCATGCTTATGATCCTCGTCCTTCCGACCAAGCGCTCGAGAAGCAAACATTGCGTCCCCAAAACTGAAAACATATAAATGTCCCAAAACAAAATACACCCGACATATATAGAGAATGAGTATCGCTCGTCCGGGTTCAGCATACGTTTGGGTGGAGGTTCTCAAACAATGCACATTTAGGATTGTACTAAATAGTGGTATTCTGCCCGCCCTGATAACATGACCGGCAACAATTTTGTTGGACACATCCACACCCAGGTGTTTCGTGAGCGCCCCAACCACAGACCGTGCGATTGGTTTTACCCGCGGACAGGCACGTGAACTAGAGGCTGGACGAGAACGTGCCTTGGCGCTGTCGAAGGCCGACACTGAAGGGAGAAAGGCAAGACAAGTTTTACAGTAATGCGGGGATCAGCGACCGCCTCGCCCTCAAGAGGGAGTTGCCAATGGCAGCGGTGGAGTCACAGAACCCATGATGATGGCCACACGAACAACTCTTTTAGGGGGCTGTGGGCTAGAGATATAATCTTATTCCATTCTTCGTCTACAAAGTGCGACCGAAGAGGGTGGCAAGGCCAAGAGCTCTTCAATGATTTGACATTCCTACGAACCATTAAACAGTATGGCCTTGAAGCCCGCTCCCCAGCCTAAGGCGCAGAATCGAAAAATAGTACATTATTCGAACCAAAGACGAGGTGGCAGAGTGAATTTTTCCTCGAACAAGCAAAGCTCAGGCGCACAATAACCACCAAGAAGAACCGACCAAACGTCGCATTCAGTTGGTCTACTCGTCCAACCGCTACTACTCGCTGGGCCATTTATTTTTGTCCTGGTTCGTTGCACGGTGGTGCACGTTTTCTTGTTCCCAGACGTGACTCTCTATCTCCTGCTCCTTTGCCGAATAGCTTTTTCTTTCTGACCGCCGTTGTCTTTCTTTCTGTCGTTGCTGACATTCATTCGACCAGGCGCTCGTGAGTGAGCTGAAGGAGGAGCTGATGAGACTCGTCGGGTCTACGAAGAAGACGCAGAAGGTCGACAAGGCCCCGGGCATGGAGGCAAGTGAACCGACCGCGAAAACGAAAGCGTCAAGCGCCTCCTCTTCACGTGAAAACAACATACTAACCTGTATGATGAACGCCTTTTCCTAGAAATTCACACGTTGTTCCTAGAGGTTGTGTCGTTTTTGGTCCTCAATGGAGGGAACACCCGGATGACGCGTTGCTCAGCCGAACCCTGATGTTATCCTTGGCGCTTGTTCCATGTGCTGGGGTGTAGCATAGTGAAAGTCCGAGTCAAACATCATCCCCAGCCATTCTCGTTCGTCTCTGTGCTAACCTCTCGAAGTGAATTGGTATTCGAAGTCTCGTACTTCTCGGTCTTTCTCAACGTCTCCACTTCGAAACATGTTAGGTGTTTTCGGTTGTCTTGTGTTTCGATATTCGGTTTCAGGTGCTGCGATCGTCGCGGGAGGGATTGGACATCCATCGGCGGGTGAAGCGCCTCGAATCTCTCGCAGCCGAAGAATACAGGGCGAGAAAGGTGCGGCATCGTCGAAGCAAGAAATAGCTTGTAAGAACACATCTTCATAGTCTAGGTGGTGTTTGACTCCAAAAGAGGGATGCTTTGGCCACCAAATACCAGTCGGCAGGACTGCCTTCCCACACCTTCGTTTCGCTTGCCCGCGCGTGTTCACTGCTGCTGGCTTTTCACGGGCTCCAGCTGGAATCAGGCTGTAGCGGCGGCAGGCAAAAAGGAGGTCGGCAGAAGCCGGCGACGTCTTCTTTGCCATTGCCATCGTCCCTCCTTCTGTCCAAGCGGGCGTTCAACGCCGAGATGGGCAACGTCCTCTTCTCACTGACTGCGGATGGTTCGGCGGCCGCGCGGGCCAGGGAGCTCGCCGGCGTCCCTCTTATGGCCGCGGACCTCCGCAAGAAATGGTGTGTGCTTGGGATCAGGATCGTATCTTCTAATGCCGGCCACCAACGGTAGCGAATACTTGTACGGGAGGGAGTCGTTCATACACCATACATCCGAGGAGATGCTGCTAGTCAGGGGGAATCTCTTCGCGAACGATCCACGGAGATAGCAATCAGAATCAGCGGCATGCTCAACACACCCTTGGGATAAATATCGCGGCATTGTGTGACTTTCTATATGTTGGAAGTGTGAATATTTGAGCTGCCCTGTCACCTCCCAAAAATATGTGACCGAGGCGTATCCTTCGATGCCAGAAATTTGGCAGCGACGAGATCGCGGCCATGAATTATTTAGTTAATAATCGCGCTCTTGTCATTTCTTGCACCTGCTCCACTTGGGGGTGAACAGGGCCAACGAGGGAAGAGGGGTAGGGGCAGAAGCGGACGGTGTCGATGCGTCCCACGCGGAGAGATCTTCTCCCCCCGCAGGGAAGGAGATCGGAGTTCCTTTCGCCGTAGAGCTGTTCGAACTGGAGGAGGCGTCGCTCCTTGGAAGGGGACACAAAGACGCCGAAGAGAAGAGGGAGCGGGCGCTTGAACAGTGAGTCGGCACCATGAAACGTGCAATGGCAATGCTGGGTAATAGCACGGAGCCTCCGAACAGTGGTAGCTGCTGATGTTGCGAAGGAAACCCCGTGGTGTGTGTTGATTGGTTAACAGTGGCAGATCTTTGGGGGGGGGACGATATGCAATGAGGCCTCCTGTATTATACTTCTCGAGCAATAGCCGTACCAGATCAATCGTGATAACGGCACGGTCCCGTCGCGCGGTGTCTTTATGGTCGAAATTCAAGGTACCGCATCTGGTCCAAGGAGAAGAGCAAGGAAGCAAGAAAGGCGAGGAGGGTGGAGCAGGCAAAGCAAGCGGAGGAGGCGGACCGACAGAGGAGGAAAAAGGCGGAGGGACTCAAGGCTTATCGCCGCTGGCTCCGGCTCGCCTCCAAGGAAGCGTGAGTGTTTTGGGGGGTAAAAGGCACGTAGGACCACCAGCGCGAGAGAAGGATTTTCTGGCGCACGTGGCTTTGTCCATTCCTCACCACTCTAAAAAGCAGCCGGGTATGACCCACTGCCGCTACATGTACCTGAACAGCGTCAATGAACCCGCTCCTCGGACAAAAAGTCGGCGACTGAGTCAAACCGTGCGGGTCGCGGGATACAGCGGTTCAACGATCGTGCGATCCATATATTGCTGATTGTCATTATCGGCGAAGATCTGTGTCTGTAGCAAGCAGCAGCAGCGGTCTAGCCGAGCGAGATTCACACTGACACGTGGGGATTTGTGTAGGTCCATGTCGGCGAAGAGACCAGAATATAGAGGTTGAGTGTGCCCTCAAGAATAATCCTTAGCTCTATAGTAACGAAACAAGGAACCTACGGGGTGTACCAGCACAATCGGGCGGGTTGGATGCAAACACTCAGGAGTGAAGCATCCGACCTCCCCCGCAAATGTCCCAGGTATAGATAGGTACAGATGAACACGCCCTACCCTCCGATCACGATCAATTCTAGATGTGGGTCAGTGCCATCAACACGTGCGAGGTTGTCGACGTTTGCAGAGATGCATGCGCTCCTTCATTAGGCCCCAAGATCAACAGCAAACCCATGTATGTACTGACGCGTTTATAGGAATTTATTACCTCCAGAATGACGGAACGGAGCAGAGTAATCGCCATGTGACACCCCACTGTCCCCAGCGTGCATCGGTGTACATTCACCGCGATGGCCAGCATCGAAAGAGAGTATCAAGGATAGAATGGTGTTGTTGTTGCTCTGGTGCATAATGATCCGAACGGAGGTGGGCACGCCTGGGATCGCTTAGGGGAATTAAACAAAGGTATTACGGGCGTGGTTTGGTGAAGGGTGACAAGTCAAGCAATCCTACCCAGTGTGCGGAGGGCTCCGGAAAAACGCATTACGGGAGCGTAAGCCCGCTCGGGAAGAAGACGAGCGCACTTTTGTTGTCTTGAATGGGACGTGAGGGCCCAGGGAGAGCTCTCATCCCCCCCTGCTCTCACTCGGTTACCCATTCTATGTCCGCCTCGTCTTACTTTGCCCCGCCGACATGTGCCGTTGAACTACACCAGCATATCCCGTAGAGTGACACGGGGACGTGTAAGACACCAGGCATGATACTTTGGAGGTTGAAACATCGCGTCTAGCATCCGTTGACCGGCTATGGAGCACCCGCACCCATTTCGCAATGTCCCTCTCTCACTAACTACACCCCCCCCATGAAACAATCTTGGCAAGGATGAGCGAACGGCACTTCAGTCCCACCGACGACGGTCATCGATGAAAATGGTATTAATCCACAGCACTCTGTACAGAGAAATGTCTGCGCGGCGGCTCTTCGGCCTCCCAGAATCCACCTTGAAGAGCGACAATCTCCTCAACTCCTCTTCGTTTTGGGCGCGGAGCTGGAAGACTTAAACGTCGGCGGCCGGTTTCCTGGCGCACAATCTTGAGAGTCCGAACAACTTTTTTTCCCCCGGTATCACCCCAACACCTGCGTTTTGTTGCATTCGCCACTCATCCTACATAGTAAAAGCAGCACAGCCTGAGGCCGGGGTTCTTTGTGAATTCGTAGTCTGCCAAAGCTCATTAAAAATGTCAGTAAAGACGGCTCCTGCGCAGCAAGCCGCCAGGTTATGTCAACGAGTTCGTGTCAGGCAGCCTCTGTTCCGATCATATTTATGTCCCCTGCCTGTATCGCTCCCTGTTTTTCCCGGCAAAACACCCCCTTGGCAGGTACTTCTCGCCCCAGAACAACAAGGTCGTTCCCAGGGTCCGTGCATCGGGAGCTTTGTCCTCCCGGTCATGCACACGAAGGACTTTCGGCTGCAGCGGCAGCGGTAGCAATCCAGTCACCACCGCCACTAACACCACAGCTTTAGCCACAGCGAACAGCAGCAGCAGCGGCGCTGTCGTCACCAGCGGGGACAGCAGCACCGCCGGTGGTGTCAGCGGCGGCGGGAGGGCGTTAGAAGAAGGACGACGCCGTCGCCATTGGAACCCCAGCACCGAAGGCGCTGGTGACTTTTATTTGGCGGCTGATCCTGGGTTCCCAGACTTTTTGTGACCGAACAAACCACGAGCGCCGGGGAGATTTTTGCCGGCCTTCCGGCGTTAGCATTAGGGGGGACAGTGTATGCGGAAATTCGGCACTGCGTAGTAGGTGATGATGTGGATGGTGGTGGGGATGCTGGCTTAAGGAGTGCGGATGAGACAAGAGACGGGGAGGGTAGGCGAGAGAGGAGCTGCGGCGAGATTCAACATGAGGGGTGGGTCACCAAGCAGGAGACACAAAACCTATCAAATGCGGTGTTCTGTAGCTCGGCAGCAGCAACGAATGCATGCCACGGATGAACGCAAGGCCGCATGTCATTGCTGGGCGCGGAGAGCGTCCTGTTGGCGAACGTGTCACTGCACGCTACAGCAGCATGTGCTGTAGAAGTAGAGCATCTCGTGATTGATGATGGCAGATTGAGAGCAGATTTTTTTATCCGGAGCAACAGAAATACCATAATAACACGAAACAAACATGTTCAACGCCGCCGGTTCATGCGCTAAGACTGGTCTACAGCAGCAGCGATTCACTTCACCCGGTGGTGTGGCATTCAAGTACCCTTCGCGCGGTCGTAGAAGGTATGTCATGCAGCCGAAGTCGAAAAGGTGAGCTATTAGTTTTCGGTCTTACCCAGGCGTACTGGGTCTCCCATACTTTCTACAGTTAGTTTTCCCTGAGGTGTGTAGCACATGGGAGAGGGGGAAGAGAGAAAGAGAAGCTGTTTTGCTTGGTGTATCTTTCTTACATTTATTATTCGACAACTAATACTCTCTGTCCTCCGGCAGTCCAATAACATACACTTCACTGTGCGTCTTTGCCCTTCGAACAAACCATTTTTTATTCCTCTTCGCAGCATTTCTTCGAATCTATCTCATTTCATAACTCCACCCGCACACGCTTGCCATCGCTGTTGAACCTACGAGTGTAGCGGCGACCGCGAAGCGATACGCCGCGAAACGCCTTGTATAGACTATATAACATGGTTGTCCTGAATTTTTCTGGATTTGTATACCTAAATTTTTGTTTTGTTTTATTTTGATCAGTTTCCGATGGCTCTTTTCTCGACCGGGTTCTTGTCTATCATTTCGTTTTCTTTTTCCGAGTGATCTGTACCCTATCTTTGTTTTGTTTCCCCGCGGCGTCGAATGTTGTGCCGTTTTTTTGTGACCACGGGCTCCCTATTGTTGTAGACAATAGAGCTAATGTGAGAAACAACAAAAACAAAAAACCTTTACAAAATATACATAACGCAGGCGTGGGGACTTAAAGACTAGTCTATGCCTATGAAGGCATTATCTACATAGATAGGTAGGACCTACGTGACGCGAGCAGCGACGCCTCTTGTCTGCTATGCATGCGTGCGTGCCTTGAACCGGGAAACGTACCTCGCCCTCTTAAGATCTCTCACGGAGACAATTTCCTTAGAACATCCCACACCTTTGTTCACATGAAACCAGATACCGAAATGAAATATGTTAGTCCAGACTAGTCTGTGTGATATCACATAATGTAATTTATTTTTTGTTTTTCGCCTTCCGACAATTGCAGATGTACCTCAGAAAACTTTCACTTAATGTCTCATGCTCTTCATGAAAATTAAACCAATACGAAGTACAACAACACATGTAGGACTTATTTCTACTGTCACTTACTACATCGTAAAAATATCTCCTCTTCAATTTGAAATTAAACCGATGACAATCCTCATGGTATCCTACATGCGTTCTTAAGCTTGCTAAAATACTACTGCGATGATGTCCTCTTGTAAAAGCTGATATCCAACAAACGCTTTGATCCATGCTACATCTCCGTGTTGGAAAAGCCCTTCTCCGTTCATGATAACATCTTACCCTATTCTACGCAAATCTGTCACATCTACTCTCAAACAAGACGCCAACTTCAAACGAAAACGCGTTCTACGATGCGTCTACACTCCATCCCCATATCATTGGCGTTGACTGGTTCGAGGTCGATCTTGTTCACCTGTTTTCGGCGTCTTGACGCCCGCGCATTGCGAGCTTGTACCTCTGCACTCGCCGAGACATGGCCACCTGTGCAGCCACCGAAACGATCTGAAGAAGTCGTTCCTTGAAGACTCCTTTTAGAGCCATCGTTCCTCCGTCCCTTCCCTCCACGGCATGTGTCGCAAGTTCATCGATGAACTCGTAACCCTCCTCTCCAAGGCGGCCAAAGATTTCCACGGCTAAGGTGGTAAGTTATTATTGATAGTTTTTTGGGTTTGTAGAGGACAAATGCCGGAAGAGTCGGGTTGGTCCGAAAAGCCGTGCAACTTGAGGTAGAGAGGAAGTAGATATACCGACTCATGTACACAATATGTACCGAGTTGTTTACTCGGGATCGTGTTCTGTTATCGACTTCAGGAAAACACAAGCCGATTGTTCGCATGTTCCCATACTAAGCAGACTACTACTGTACATCATCTTGTCCCTTGCCACGGGAGATGCTGGAGAAAAACGCGTAGAACACACCCGACGAAGAACCAGCAAATAGCGCCATGTAGGCCAAATCGGAAGGCAATTTGAACAGTATGAAGGCCGAGAGCAGTGTGCAGAGTGAGAGTGCAGATATCACGAAACCTAAAGTCCAGCCGTTTGCATATGACAGAGTGATCGTCTAAATAGCCGGCAAGACCACCGCACTGCAGCACGCTCCAATATTATCCTTTGTGGTATCCCACCTCGCGCTTCTTGCCTGAGAGTCCAACACGACCCAGCACACTATTATTTTGGACTTCATCTCTGAACAAATGCAGACCAAGGCACGGATTCTTGGGGGCTGAGGGCTCGCGAGGTTGTAGCACTAGTCTGTTATGGCTTTTCGGAAGATCTGTTCATCTCAATCTTACGGGGAGTCTTCGGAACACAACACTTGTCATCACACCGACCCAACGCAAATTCTTGGCACCCATCACACACACACGCCGAACCAACACAACGTCGCGCGAGCTTTCTTGTTTCTCTTGTTTAAGAAGGAGGATCTTCCATCGGCAGCAAAACGACGGGTCCTCCCAACCCTGTCCTCCGCACATAGATTTTCGAACTCTTTCAGATAATCGGAACGAACCGAGCTATTTTCACCAATATGCTGTTCGGTGGTGAATCCACTCCTCTGGTGCTGTGTAAAAAACATTGGGGCGTGTGGTCTTCCGCGAAGTCTACTGTGTTGAGTCTGTTGATGAAAACGTAGATTCTTGGTTTAATTTGTTATGCGATTCTCAGAATCTTACAGATATTTTTCGTTTGTTATTTTACGCCAATCTAGATGCGACTTATCAAATCAAAAATGGTCATACAAATATTATAAGATTTGGATACCAATTCTTGAAAAGTAAAAAAATCTTATACAAGTGTAGATGTTGGCGAAACGTTCGCTACACAGCTGGGTCCTTGAAGTATAGAAACATTGCTTCAGGCGAGCTGAGGTGATTGATTGCCGCTCGCGACATCTGAGTTGGACCTGGCGGTCTAGAAACAAGAAATGCATGGTTTGCTTGGGTTCGACGCTCAAGGTGCGGTGCCAAGTCCCCCCAGAGTTTCCGCCAGGCTATGCACACGAAAAAAGTTTTCCCGATTGAGTATCTTTGCGTGACTGTCTTGTAGCTTTCGCCTGTTCACGAAGCACCTGTACATATGGCATATATACATAGGGTTAAGGATTGCCCCCCCGCCCCCCAACGGGGCAGGCAGCCACACCGAGATGGATGGCGGGAAGGTTTGGGAGGAAGACCACATGTTGTGGAGTGGCAAGACGGGACGGGGTGTATGGAGACGCAATAAAGGCGTGAAGACGTTCGCCAAGAACGAGAGGGCATAGGATGGAATTGGAAGCGGTCGCGGAGATTGACGGAACAGAAAACAAGCAGTGATGAAATTATCAAACAGACAGAGATGGTCATCGTCGACAGTCGTTTCACTGTATGGTACCAGAGAAAATAGAGTGACCTCCATATTTATTTATCCTACAGTTGTAGTCTAGAAATAGAGTCCCTAAAAATCCATTTCCTGCGCAACATTTACGTTCAGTCACGCGCTTCTTCCATGATGAAGGCCGACACCGTCGCCAATGAATGACCGCATCGACCGAGGCATACCGTACACGTCAGCGTACTTGTGGGCCTCGCGCAAGCCAAAAAGGGGTAGTGCAGGTGGCGGCATGCAAGTAGACCACACAGACTATATAGTTGGTGCAGCTACAATGAATGGTGTACTCATAGTCGTGCATGCCGTAGTCGTTAGACCATTGACCTCGCATCCCTACAAAGCCGGGACGGAGCACGCCGGGTTCTCACCGGACCAGGCTCTCACATCACCAAGCGCGAAGCGCCGTGAGATATTCGGCGAGTCGCATGAAGGGTGCGCTGCATCCTGCTAAGGGTGTTCGGCATCTTGTGCTTACTTCCTTGCGTACGGATGACAGCTGCGTATGAATTAATTTATTTTCTGGTGCTTTCACTTCCAGAGACAGTTGTAAGCACTGTGTAACTGCCTCGAGGGTGCTTGACCATTTTAACACAACGTGGTGCGATCATCCCCCTTGCGCGGAGTGAGGGTTCTCCACCCCGCACAACATGATCTACTCGACCGCCATTATGGTTACCGCCAAAAAAAAAACGGAGGTAAAAAAAAAAACGGAGGTAAAAAAAATAAACGGTAACCTGGTTGCCGAGTTCACGAAGTGAATTGGCTTGTTTTACAACGTCGTTGCCAGGCGACGAAAACCCAATCCCGATGGCAAACGCCGGGGGGGGCGGCTTGTTCTACAACGTCGTTGCCAAGCGACGAAAACCCAACCCCGATGGCAAACACCGCATGGTGGAGGGGGAAATTCACATGCATCAGCTGCCGCCCCAACCTCTGCACCACCGGTGGGGTACATAGCCGTTGAATACCCCGCCAACTGCATGTCGACCTAAACGGCTCCAATCGACACACAAGCACCGGTGGTTGACTTTGGTACATGCATGCGCAGCGCACAGCAGCGGACAGCAGGTCAGGTGGCGAGCGCGTCAAGTATTCCCGCCTCACAGCTCCAAACACGTCCGGTGGGCATCGAACACTTCCTTCTCTCTTCCTCCAGGCAGACTTCCTTCAGCAACACGAGAAATCCCACTGCTTTACCTTGCCCTACAATACTCCAATCGATACACAAGCACCGGTAGTAGAAGCGCTGGGTACATGCACGCACAGCACAAAGCTGCGGACAGCAGGTCGGGTGGCGAGCACGTCAAGTATTCCCGGTACAGAGCTCCAAGCCTAACCACGTCAATGGAATACTACGTCGAACGCTGTTTTTCTTTCTTATTCCGGGTATACTTCCCCAACAGCACGAGAATCCCACTGCAGCATCTCGAGCATTGAGGCATGGTTCGTCGTCGCAGGAGGTATCCCATCCAGTCCGGGTTGTCGCCGTAGGCGAACTTTGTTCGGTGTCTGGTTCATACTGCTGCAGCAATAAACAAAACATTCGAGCAATGCATACAATTTCGGAATGTTTTCCCAAACTAACAGCAAGACATGTGTCACGTCACGACGAACATCCTGTGAGTACAAACTGTTGATAACGTGATCAAGTGAACGGCGTGCGTCAACCCGGAGCACCATATCGATACGCCCGCCACGAACCAGTCCCCATCGCCCGGGCAAATTCTTTGCGATACATGCACAATCTCCCACACTAACCCGCCATGGGACACCCATAGGTCACCCAGGGGCCGCCCATAGGCGCTTCATGAACCGCCCATGGGCTGGCAAAGGGCGGTCCATCAAGTGCCCACCGTGGGCACTTCAACCTAGAACTTCGCCGCCGGCATGTCACCCTACTTGAACTTAGCCACCTTCACATCAACCTACTGTAGCACGTATCGTGTGGGCTTGAGGTTAGGTTTTCGGTTAGCGTTAGGGTTCCAAGGGTATAGGCGGCCGCCCGCNGCGGCCGCCCGCCGATGAGGCGGGACGGTCACCTGGAAGCAAAACCTTTGCCCTTGTGTGATCAGCCGTGCATTGGCCGTGACGGACATGGCGGCCACGAATTGAGCGGAGAAGGTCGTAATGCTGTAGTTTAATCCAGAACAACATTGCTTTGTTTTGCGAAATTCATTTTGCAACAAATACTTTGGCGTCCGTAAAAAGAGTGTCGGCACCATCTCACTTGGAATATACGAAAATGACGTACGCTTACACGAGAAGCCGAAATGAACGCGAAATATCGGAAACGCGCATGAAGAAAAGACACCGCTGAAGAAACCAATAGTACGTGTAAATTTATGTCCGGGTAACGATCGGACCACGGTTCGGTCATGGTTGAGAACATGAGCCAATAAACTGCATACGCGTCTGTTACTGCTGCCGAACTACACAACATCGCACATCATGTATGTGGGTATGTCTACTGCTGCTTGCTGGTACACACACCGATATTTGTGTGGTCAGACTGAAAACTACGTTGTTGACGACCCAACCTGCTCATTGTTACCACCCTGAATGTTTGGTCCCGGTCAAGATTGTTCAAAGCGTGGTCGTACACGTAGGAGAAGAAACAAATGTTACGTGTTATATCCGGGCAACAATCGGACCATGGGTCTGGCCACGTTCCAGAGCATGAGGTGACCGCAAAATGCGACGCACTGCTAACAACGGCATAACATTGGCTATTGCAAGTGGTGCATTGTTGCGAAGGCGAAACATGCCTGAAGGTACGCGTGATGAAAGTTAGATAAGCTACCGTACTACGCATGAATCTACTTTCATCGTTCGGACGAGATATTTGATGGTGTCGTCTTCTTCCTCATATTCGGACAAAAGCGAACATCGGATCATTGCTGATCCCGAATCAATTCGTCCCGGGAACAATCTCGGACCTGGCTAGTGTTATCCGGCCGATTTCTGACCGCTGCCTCCGATCGCTAGCCCCCGAAGTCCTTGATTTGGTGGATGATGGAGTTGAACTTGTTTCGGTCCAAGTGCTTCGTGGCTATGTCAGCAAGCATAGCCTGCGTTGGGACGTGGTGAACCGCGATGTGGCGCGGCTTGATCGATTCCTGGAGAACGAAGAACCGCAGCGCGATGTGCTTGGTCCTCGAGCTGAACATGGTGTTGGCGGCAAGGCTTAGAGTCCCTGAGCTGTCACTGTAAATGGAGATCGGCTTCAAGTTTTCGAACTTGAGTGCCATTAGAAGGCTAGAGAGATATGCGGCCTCCTTTGCTCCGTAGCTGATGGCTTGAAGTTCGCTCTCCACTTGTAGACTGTGCCGTCAGTGACTGCGCCTTGGTTCCGAAGCTGATGAGGCCTCCTCCCAGGAAGAACAGGTACCCTGTGGTTGACTTCCTGTTGTCTGGAATAGCTCCGAAAGAAGAGTCGGCGAACGCTGCAACGCGGAATCGTCCTCGCTTGAATATGATGAGTAGGTCTGGCGTTCCGCGAATGTATCGAAGCGCGTGCTTTGCCGCTGTCGTGTGGGCCCGAGCAGGCTTGCTGCATGCCCTCGTCAGTTGGTTGACCGCGTAGGACTGGTCATACCTTTTGCATTGAGCCAGGTAGAGCAGGCTGCCTGTGATGGACTGGTATAGCTTGGACTCGGCTGCTCCGAGTAGCTCATCCGCTGGCTGATCCGTCTAGAGTTCCGGTCCGTATCCCGGAGTTCTAACCGGGTTGCAGTTCTCCATGCCCAAACTCTCCAGAATACTCTTGACGTAGCCCTTCTGCGAGACGACGAGCGTTCCGTTTTCGTAGCTGCGCGTGACTTTCATGCCTAGGATGAGACGAACTTCTCCAATGTCTGTTATTTCGAAGCGGTCTTGGAGTTCTTTCTTCAGGTCGGCGACAAGGTCGGGATCCTTTCCACTGATCAGGATGTCGTTGACGTATAACGTCAGGATTACAAGGGTGTCGCCGCTTCCGTGTATGTAAACGCAGGGATCGGACTGCGTGGGCCTGAATCCGATCACCACTAGTACTTCGTCGATGGTGTCGTACCAGAGGACTGGCGACTGCGCGAGCCCATAGAGGCTGCGTTCGAGTTTGTAGACCATGATCCCCCCAGTCGCGGGGTCCTTTGCGTCTTGTCCTGGAGCGGGCTTGACCCACACGTCCTTGTCGATCGTTGGCTGCAGAAACGCCACGGCTACATCCATCTGCCATACTGGCCATCCGCGTTCGCACGCTATGGCGAAAAAGATGCGAACGCTCCCGATGCGGCACACTCTTGCGTAGCGCCTCCCGTCGTCGATACCAGATTCTTGTACATGGCCTTGAACCACCAGCCTGACCTTGAATCTTTCGTCCGCCTTCTGTTTGAAGACGAACCTTGTGCCGAGAACCTTCTCGTGCTTGGGAACGCTGGTGATCGGGACCAACTTGAAGACCCTGTGTTTCGCCCGACTGTCCAACTCCTTTCCGATCGCTACCTTGCACTGCTTTGTCTCGGGCGAGTTGATGGCTTCCTTGAAGGTGTTGGGGATTTTGATGGCTCTATGCTCCTCCTCCAAGAATCCTTGCCGGATCGGGGCGCCTGTGGCGTACACGTAGGCCCGCGACTTCGGGGGTGATTCTTCATCCAGATGAGCAAAATCCGGAGACGTGCTGGCGTGATCGTGGTTGGTCCTTCTGGCAATGTCCAATAGCTGGCCAAACGTTAGAGCACTCGGGTCGGACCGCATCGAGGCGGCCGCCATACATCCACCTCCGCTGTCGTCCATGTTGATCTCCAGAGAGCTGGGTGCAAGGGCGGCGTCGACGGTGTCGGAGGCGTTCGGCCTCTTCCTGGTGGCAGCGCAGGTCACTTCAAGCGGCCGCGATATTCCTTGTGCTGGTCTCGGCTGATCCCCTTGTTCGATTTCACCCTATTCGGCGTTCGGCTCGACTCCGGATGGCATGACCTGAGGCGACCTCGGCGGGCTGGGTGCAGTGTCGTTTCCATGGTGGGTAGATTGTTGCTGCAGCTCCTCCCAAATCACGTCATCTGGCGGATTTCTTGCCGGAGAAGTTGATTCTCGGCCTGGTAGTCGACGGTGGCGCCCAATCCACTGAAAGTGTCTTCTGTAGTGGATACCCCCCCAAGAATGGATGTGAAGCGCAGGACGTGTCCCTCGTAAAAACGGTCGTCATTGGGCACGCCGAGAGGCATGGAGTACGCCGGCGTCTCAATAAAGGTGACGTTTCTGCTCTCTACTACGTTGCCGGTTGCAGTGTTGTAGATCCTGTAGGCCTTACTGTGTTGACTAAAGCCGCAGAGTTTGCCTTCGAACGCGCGGTCGCTCAACGTTTTAGTGTATCGCTCGTGGTGCACGAAGGCTGTGACTCCGAGGACTCCAAGGTTTGACAGGTCCGCTTCTTTGCCGTACATTTTGAAGTACGGAGTTACTCCCCCAAGTGCTGTGTGGGGCGACCGGTTGGAGAGGTACACCACCGTCAGCGTTAGTTCTCCGCATAGGGTAGGTGGGAAGACTCCGTCCTTCATGAGGTGACGCGTGATTGTCGCCAAAGTTTGTGCGTCTCGTTCGGATACGCCATTTTGCTGAGGGGTGTTCGTCGCGGCGTATTCGATGGTGAATTCGATGGTGATGCCGGAGTCGGTGCGGTAAGTGGTGACCTCGCTTCCGACGTTTTCCCCTCCTCTGTTGCACCGAATAATCTCGATGCGGCGGCCTAGCGGAGCAGCCACGTGCATGTAGTAGGCGTAAAGGGCTCGAGCGGACTCGGACTTGGCGTTGAGCAAGTAGATCTCCTTCATTCGCGTGGGGGCGTCGGTGAATTTGGAGACGTAACGAAAGCCCCCTTTCGCAGGCGGAGTGATCTCCCCCATGCTATCTTGATTGTTGTTTTCTTTCGTGATGCGCTCCTGTTGCCGTGTGGTGTACAGGACGATGCTTTTTTTCCCTGCTGTCGCAGCAGTCCCTCCCGTCACAGGAGGAGCTGTTTGCTCGTGATGTCAACCCGAGACTTCCCAACCCCGCTCCTGCTCAAAAGGAATACGGTTGTAGGTAATCCTTTCCCGGCCCCGCTCCTGTACCCCTTTCCTCGCGGATGGGTGTATATGTCTACGGTGTGGACTGTCCCGATCCCGGTCCTGCTACGCTCTCCTCTCGGATCGCTGTAGAGGTGTAATGAGGTCCTGTCTCAGCCAGATAAATGTTTCACCATTTACCTGGTGGCTGAGTGGTCTACCTCCTTTACATATGGCGTCGTTTAGGACATGTCGGGATTCGATTCCCGACTTGTGCACTTTCTTCATTTCTTGATTCAAAAAGAAAAATGAGACAAGCACTTGTGCGTGAAAGGAGAAAAGACACTTGCATGTAAAAAATTCTAGCGGAAAAAGCATCCTCCCTACCGTCTGAAGAAAGTCTGCGACCCTACGTTGGTTGGTGGTCCTGGGGATTACTTCCCGCTAGGTTTCAGTGCTAGAGAGTGCTATAAGGCCCTGTCTCAGCCAGGTAAATGGTTAACCTTGTACCGGGTGGCTGAGTGGTCTACCTCCGTAACAGAGGACTACGGTTGTAGGTCGCCTTTTCCCGGCCCCGCTCCTGTTACCCTTTTCTCGCGGATGGATGTATGGGACTACGGTGTGGACCGTCCCGACCCAGCTCCTACTACCCTCTCCTCTCGGATCGGTTTATAGGACTACGGTTGAAGGTCATCTTTTCCCGGCCCCGCTCCTGTTACCCTTTCCTCGCGGATGGATGTATGGGACTATGGTGTGGACCGTCCCTGCCTGCCGCTGATACGGCAGTTAGTTGTCTGCTCGATGTTCGAGCCTTTTTTTTTTTTTTCACGAGCGGAAATTCAGGAGCTCCTCCCACTGCCCGATTTGATGTGTGTGTTTTGAAACCCTGTGTGTGTGCGTGAGACCGAATCCCGCTTACGTGTCTTCCTCAGTCGAACGTGCCTGTCCTGGCTCGACCTCGTATCTCCTTGATGATCTTCGAACCGAAATCCTGCTCGAACCGCAAACAACCGTTATCCGGTGTCTTCTCCGCAGTTCGAAGCACAGAAGTCTGGCGTGGCTGGGAGGTCCGGTTGCCAAACCCGTCGTCTTGTCCACAGCTCGACGTGTACGCGTTTATGCGAGGCTCATAACCTCTCAGCGAGAAACAGCGTCTCAGCAGCAGTGGGTGTGTGCTGAATGCTGCGGTCGCGTCGTAGGCTGTGCTTGGTACAGCAGCCTACCACGGAGGATACACTTCGAGTGCAGTTGCAACTTGATGTGTGCCTCGGAATGACGAAACAAAGAAGAACGTTGATTACTGACTTACTCACGGGGTCAGGTTTTGATGGTGCTGATGTGGAGTGAGGAAAAGGGGGCGCGTCCACGCTCATCCTCGAAGTCATGGAAGTACACAAACCCAGCAACGCCAACCAATCACATGCATTCAGAATACGGTACTCGTAAGCCACGACACCCTACTGGCAAAAACCAATATACCCTACTGGTAAAAGCTGACGTCGTGTTCTGGAACTTGACGCGCTACTGACAAATGATGACATCATGTTCTCAAACTTGCCATGGCATATTCTATCCTATATATTTCTGGAACATGTACCGAATAGAATACCAAAGGTACCTTCTAGAAACAGTGTTCTCACATCAAGGCGTCAACCACCAAGTGTCAACCACCCAGCCAGATGTACAAGAAGACGCTGTGTTTGTGTGCACACACGTAAGTACACATCGACGATCAATCTTGTCGTCTTACTGCAATCAAACACAGAGGGGATGCGTGACGCGATGCTACAGCATACAGCTGATGATACCACACGTACCCTACCCCTCCTCCCCTCCCCGGCCTGCCCCCCGGCCGGGGCCGAAATCGACCTTGTGAGTCCCTCGCGGGCGAACCAGGCCACAACAGATAGTAGGTGGGTGGTGTCCCAAGGTGCAACTCACCGCCGCGCTGGCTCAGCGTGGCGGTGAGGATGCACAGACGGTGGTAGTGGCGAGAGGTGTATGTGGACCTTGTCCCCGCGGCAGCAATGCAAAGCGGCAAACTGCACCTGGTAACCACCGTCGCGGAAAACGTGGCCCACGAAGCTGGAGGAGCAGAGAGATTCGTAAAAACCACGCGAGTAAGCACCGTTCGCGGGAGAAGGGAGATAACCGCGGGCGACGCGGGGGGGGAGTGCTGCACCCTCCTCGTCCAAACACCACAGGCAAGCACCGAGCCCTGCAAAGATGGATCGATGCGAAGAAACTCGCCGCTCGGATTAAACGGAAGAAAACACCCCCCCAGCGCGAGGCGGACCGAGAGCGACAGGAGATTGCAGCGGGCGTGAAGGCGACCGCGAAGAAGAAGGCACGGGAGGGCGATTTATC